AAGGACTGTATAATCTGTTCTAATACATGAAATCAAGACAGTAATCTTAAATCAAGGGCTCAGCTGGAGAAATCAAAGTGAAAGGCTGTGTTGGCAGAGAAAGGGGGAGTTGTCCCATGACCTGGACTACTGCCAGCAAACAGAGCAAAGTGCTGGACCACTGACAGAAGGAACACTTCTCAGAGAAGATGACTTGGAGCTTGTTCCTGGTGCCAACACACAGTTCAGCATGTTCACAATGTTCAACATTGCCGTGTTCACAACCGGGGAACACGGATACAGTGGGTGAAGACGGAGTGTGGTGGATTATCTATGTGAGCTGCCTCCCCAGCACAGGCACCAAAGCCCAACCACAGCCCAGGCACATGGGGACAACATCAGACACTTACATAAAACAAAGGAGGGCAACAAGGAAATTACGTGATAATGAAAAACCAGGGGAAAAAAAAACAACCTTCACACAACTGTGTTTTAGCATTGTAAAAAATATAAAACCAAAAGCAATCTTTCTGACTTCCCCTGCCACACCGTGCAGGTCTCCCACAGGCATTCTAGGGACAGGAGATGGTGCCCCTTTTCCTGCTGTTCAGTGAAGCAGTGCACACAGCATTTCCGAGGGGCTCCACAGACTGTAGCGCAAGCAAACCGAGAAAATAAATACACTCAAACATTCCCTCCTGTCAAAGGACACCAACTGCAGGAAAAACTAGCTTGCTTTTTGTTTTAACTGAAGTTAAGTCAGCTGCAACTCATTTTAATATCTGAAACTTTTGGAGATGTGTTTCACAGCATAACTGTAGAATTTACACTGCATTGCCAATCCATAATTCGGTCATTCTCATTAACAGTGTACAAAGAAGGTCATTAGTTTATATATATATATTTATATATATATATACTTTATAAAGTCTGGAAGATCAATATAAATACTGCTCCAGAAATTAAAAAAGTGTTTACATCCCCGACTTGAATATTACATCTCAGTGTCCTGGGTTATTGGTAGGATCTGTAAAAGTCTTAGCGGCGCAGAGGTTCAAGTTTTCGAAATTTCAGTGCCGAGCTGGATGACAAAGCATCTTGGTTTGAAGAAGAATTCACTGTGTCTGGGGACTGGAACAATACTCTACCACGATGATTAAATACATAAAAAGACGGATGGTTCCTTAATGTGTCAAATGTCCTTCAAAATAAATGTAAAAAGCCAAGGTTAATACTCTTTTGGAGAAGGGAGTTTATAAGAGTCAGTCTGGGGTTTATTGACTTGAGACACAGAAATACAAGCTTTCAACCCAAATCTCCTGCTCATTTTCTAGGTTTCCTAAACTAAAACAGAGGAAATATAAAGCCAATTGTGAAAAATACCACAAAATGTCCACATCACACTTCCCCTTCCTTTCCTCGAGCTCAGGGGCAGCCTGTGGAGTGCTGCATGTGCACACCACGTACCAGCCTTTGTTCAGCTGGTCACTTGTGTTAACACCTTGTCAGCTTTCCATCCCTTTGGGTGCCTCAAGCTGAAGTCATTCACCTCAAGGTGAATGCTGTGAAATACACCCATGTCAACTTGTTTACTTTCCACACACTCCTGTGTCTTTGGAAACAGCCAGAGAAGCCACATCTGCCCATCCAATTTCATATCCTTTTCAAAATCTCTTATTCTCTCAAAGCCTTTCAGATGTTTTGCCTTGAATAGTTCAGTGTAAGATTCAAATAACTCAGGTTCTTGTGAAGGAACAGACACAAACAGAGGGTGGGCTGGGCCCTGCAGTCTGTGAGACCATGTCACGACTGCAGTTTGTGATTCCTCAGCTCTACTTCCCTCGTACACATTTCGTTCCTCCACCAACTCTGCACAGCAGGATTTTGGATGAGGAAAAGCACAAAGTTTCTTCAATTTGTTCCTATTAGCTAACTCTCTCACTGTTGGCTTTCCCAGCTGTTCCTCTCAGTGCTCCTGACTACAACATGCATTCAAAAACTGAGCTAAAACCAAGCTATTTCAGTGTGCAGTTTGTACAGTGAGTAGCAGACACCAGTGTTTACAAAACGAAGATATAAAACATACTTATTTTTTAGTTCTGAAGTGGCATCCATGTCTTTGAACTCTCCTGCAATATGTGCTATCCCATAGCAGGTGACTGCGAAGGCCAGCAGGGTCTGCAGGACTATCTGCAACAGAGGGAGCACAGAGCAGCACACACATCACTGGGGGTTCTTCACGTTCACCCAAACATCTCAGCTCCCACACAGTGTCCTCGTGCTTTTTACCCCATGACAGCACATGCAGGGGTGGGCAACCCAGCAGTGGAGAAACTGAGGCACGGGAGGATTAAACACCCCCCTGTGAGCACAGCAAAGCCCTGGCAGAGCTCCAGCTGCCCGAGCTTGGGTCCGAGCTGCACCAGCTGAATCCCAAACACCATGTTTCTGTGCACTCCAGGATCCCAACTCCCCTGAGGAACGTGCCAGCTGCCAGCACAGGCCGTGCCAGGCTGCCCCCTGGCACCTGATCTCCCTGCCCTTCTGATTAAGCAAAAAGGGAACAGATAACTGAAGTGGAATTCAAAAACTGAGCAAATAAAGTAACTAAGAACCCCCCTTCCTGAAGCAGGCTGTGCTGGGATCAAACAGGCACATGGTCACAATGAATAAACACAAGCCAGAGGGAGGAGGGTGTTTGTGCTGCAAAGGAGGAGATGGATGCAAAAGCTCCCTGAGCTACGTTCAGGGAATCCTGGACAAGGTGCCCCAGGGTAATTCTGAAGAAAGAGAGGGAGGTTTGGACCTTGAGCTTCTTCTCTCTGACAGGTATGACACACCCAGGAAGCTGGGATGGAAAATGTGGTTCTTTTTGAGAGAGGGAGTTTGAATGAAAGTGCAATTTAAAAATTATTTTGACCTTGCCTACCACACTAAAAAAAAATAAAAAATAGAGAGAGACCAAACCATCCCCACAGCTACACCTTTCAAACACGACAAAAACTTACATCTATGGGCAACGTTTCATCTTCCTTCTCTGTCAACCTCATGTACGAACGATCTACAAAACAGAAACACACACATGCACCAATCACTCTGTACGCTCAAACACACAGCCCAGCAGCACAACCCCCCCCACGAGAACCGGCCGTGGCTCTGAGACACGTGTCAGCCCGATCTGGGCTGCCCCCGGCCCCGCTGTGACGCCGCTGCTCCGGAGCACGACTGGCCCCGGCCCCGGGCAGGCAGCAGGGAGGGGGGCTGTGGGGCCGGGAGGCAGCGGGGGGCCGAGAGGCAGCCACCCTTTCCCTCCCTCTTTCCCTCTCCCATTCTCTCCTTCCCTCCTCGGCTGCCGCGACGCCCGCAGGGGACGATCCCCGCGCTGCCCCCGGTGAGTCCCCAGCCCCGCTCTCCCCGCAGCCCGTCCCGCACGGGCAGGGCCGCCCCTGCCGTCGGGGCTGAGGATGATCATGATGAGAATGAGGATGATCATGGTGAGGATGAGGATGATGGTGCTGCCGGGCCCGGCCACCGCCCCGGGAGCTCCCCGGCGGCCGTGTGGCGGTGCGGGTGCCCCGGTTGCCCCCGCCCCGCGGCCCCGGCGGTGACTCACGCTGCGCCGCCGAGAAGGCCGCGTGTGCGAGCGCGAACAGGCCGAGCCCCACCAGCCCCTTCCACACCGACCCCGCCGCCATCGCCGCCGACAGCGCGCCCCCGGCGCGCGCTGATGGCGTCACCGGGGGCGAGGGCGGGGCCGCGCCCGGGGGCGGACTCATGCAAAAGGGGCGTGGCTTCCTCCAGAAAGGGGCGTGGCCACCCCGCCGCTTTCCCACGCGCGGCCATTGCGAAAATCCGAGGGGTCGCGATGGACCTCGGGACGGTCCCAGGGGGCGGTGGAGGGACAAGGGAACCGTAGGGCCCGGGACCAGGCCCGCTCCCTCCACCGGATCCCTTCCGGGGCCATGGGGGTCCGGGGTAATTCCCGTTTTCCGCGTGTTTGACCTCAAAGCTTGAGGAACCGGTGCAAGAAAAAAACGGTGTCAGGGGATGCACAGCACGAGCAGGGAGACGCTCCTGTCAGAGCCAGGCTTGGGGCAAAGCAAGGACGCCCGAGGGTCCCACGCAGCCAAGCATCCTGGTTCCTCCATGCCCCCAAGGCACAAAGATAAGAGGCACAGAAGCAATTCTTTGAGGGCGATTCCTAGAAATCGCCTTTAAGCTGACCACTGTGGCATTTATTGCAGCCCTTGCCCCACCGGCTGCACGGATCCTCTCTATGTCTTGGTAAACAAAGTGGGAAGTTTACCCTGATCCCACCTCGAGGCTGATGGCGGTTCCTGGCACCATCCACATGCCTCGGCACTGTGTGAATGCACCATCACCCTCCAGCATCCCCCCGGGTCCCGTCAGCCCGGGCCGGGGGTATCCCGCAGGACACCCTTCGAGCATCCCACACAACACCCGCTCCCGCGCGTGGCTGCGCAAAACTTCTTCCTTGCACCAGGTCTCGGGGATTCTTTTTTTTCCTTCTTGGAAACCTCCTTGAGCCCCCAGCACCTCTCCCCTTCCTGCACCCTCCTCCCAGCCTCCCCGCGCAGCCCCAGTCACACCCAGGCGCCCCTTCCCTTCCCGAACCTCTCCTTGTCTTCGCCTCCGACCCCCGCTTTTCCCGCTCCCTCTCTCCCCTCAGCCCCGCTCGCTCCCGGCCCGTCCCTATCCGGGCTCCCCGCGCTGTTCCCGCCCCCGGCGCCTGCGCCCAGCGCCGCTTCCTGGTGTCGGCGGGGCCGGGCCGGTGCCGGGGCGATGGCGGGGCCGGGGCCGGGGCTGGCGGCGGCCGCGGGGCTGTGGGCGCTGGGAGCGGCGGCCGCCGAGGTGCCGGCGCGCCCCGGGGCGCTGGAGGAGGAGATCGTGTCGGAGAAGGCGGCGGAGGAGAGCCACCGGCAGGACAGCGCCAACCTGCTCGTCTTCATCCTGCTGCTCACCCTCACCATCCTCACCATATGGCTCTTCAAGCACCGCCGCGCCCGCTTCCTGCACGAGACCGGGCTGGCCATGATCTACGGTGAGCGGCACCCCGCGGACCCCCATCCCTGGGAAACCCCGGGAGCTGCCCGAGCACTGGGAGCGCCGTCCGGACCAGTCCCGGCTCCGCGCTGGGCCGGCTGGAGGGGCTGGGTGGGCGCCCGGCCGCCCCCTCCCATGGCACCGCCCGTGCGGACCGGCAGCTCGCCGTTCCCTTCAGTTCCCTTCAGCCGAGGGGCTGCGACACGGCGGGTTTGGTGGGCGAAGGGGTGCGGGGGTCCAGGGGGGTCCCGGGGGACACATCCCGGGTGCAGCTGGGTGCTGCCGTGTCGCCGGGACCAGCCGGGCTGTCGCCCTGTCCTGGCGTGCCCCGTGCTCAGCCTTATCTGGGTGTTGCTGGAGGGAGGGTTGGTTGTTTTCCAAACCCGAGATACCAGAGGGCTCTCGAGGGCAGAGTTACTCTCAAGTCTCCCAAGACAGTGAGGAGCTGGTTGGGTTTCCACAGGCGGCCTCAAAACCTCATCACTGAGCACTGGCAAGTCCCACTTACCTGCTCCAGGACTTGGGGCAGCACAGACCAGTTCTTGCACTGGTTAGAGGCTTTGCACTGGTCGAGGGTCTTCCATCCCAGGTTGGATGGGGCTCTGAGCAACATGGTCTAGTTGAAGGTGTCCCTGCCTGTGGCAGGGGGCTTGGAAGTAGATGATCTTCAAGGTTCCCTTCCAGCTGAAAACCACTCTGTGATCCTGCTTGCTGGGGCCAGAGGCTTTGTTTCCACCCTGTGTTTAGAGCGTCCAAATTTCCAGAAGCTGTCCAAGAAGAGTGGAGAGGCCATTTGGGGGATGCTTCTACCCTTTGTCATGCAGAGCCAGCAGCCTTGCATTCTGCCTCTCGGGGACCTGTGTACACCAGCTTTTACTTTTGGGTTTCCTCCTCCTGCTGTGACAGGACCTCTTGGTGAGGAAGCCTATGTGTGTTCTCACAAGAAGTGGAGCAAGGCTGTGGGTCAGGGGAGTGGGTCTGTAGCCATTTGGGTTTTAACAGTGGCCTGTGATTTAGCGAGGTGACATGGCCTCGTGAAGTGGCCTGAATCACTGTATGGAGGTGCCATATGTGGCTCTGCCTGAGTTATCCGGAGTTCAACCAAAGTAGGACTGGGAGTTGTGGGGAAGTGATTAACATGGTCAGGGATCCTTATCTAGACAAGATTTGTTGAGTCCAGGATTGAGAAGGCGTGTTCTACTGCGTGCTGTGCTTAGTGTCTCTCCTCTGTGCTGCCCTTGCCCTGGCTGGTTGTGGGTGATGTGTGACCACACTTGGTCAGAGCAGAATCCCCTGCCCAGCAGAAAGCTTTGTTCTGAAGGCTGTAACTTGACCTATTCTGGCTGTTGGCTTTTGTGATCCTAAATTTCAGTTAATTTGAAGTGTCCTTCCAGATGAAGGGGTGGAGACACTTGCGTCAGCCCAGAGGCACAAAATCCTGGTCAGCCTTTTCAGATTCCTTCGAGCCACGGCTGAGGTGGGTGCAGGTGTGTCCGATGGCCTCCTGCCCAGGGCAGGGGTGGTCACCTCCCAGGACAGGAGCTGTGCTGTGGGGAAGGTCTTCCTTCTGCTGCTCCAGCGTTCCTGACACGCAACTTTCTATTCCTTTCATGCTTTCAAACTTGCCCTTAACCTTGTTCTTCTTCTCCTGGAGTTTTCTTCCTCTTGATCCTCCATTCTCTCTGACCTACCCGAGTGCTCTCCGTGTTCTCAGAGCACAATCCAGGTTGTTTCAGTCTCCTGCTGATCCATGAAATGCATCTTTATTGTCTACTGTTCTGCAGACTGTGCTCAGAGAATTGCTGGCAAAATCAGTAATGTCACCTGTTTGATCATGCAGAAAATCCCAAGGTTTTCCCTGGTATCAAGGCTTTTGGCTTCTGAAGTAGTGGCAGCTGCCATGGAAAAAGGGATGTGTAATTTCCCAAGGAGTGGTGAGATGCTGTTATTTTACAATGACAACTTAAAATCTGCAGGGAAGAAGGCAGGTATTGCTGTCCTGGCTCCCTGTGTTGCTTTCAGCCCCAGGGAAGTTCACTGAAAATGTGGAAGGGCTGCAAAACAGACTCTGAAATCTGGGCAAGAGAAGCAATTTGCAAAAGCTTGTCTTTTTCTGTTTAAGAAAACCAACAACAACTAAGTCAAATTAAACTCTTGCATACAACTCTTCTGGTGAAACACATCAATTTCCTTGGTGTCTGTGTTTTACTCGAAGTTATAATCTCTTGCTCTGGGTGGACTTCAGTTTCAGAAATCACACTGTCAGTTCAAAGCTGATGTTCAAGAGCTGGACACAGGCTGGAATCATTTCACAGTGATAGAAAACAGGTGTTTAGTACCCTTAAGCTTCATTCCAGTGTTTAAAATGAGGTTCCTACATCTGAGGTGCTCAGCGTTTAGGATGATTAATTGAATAATTTTGTTTCAGTTCTTCTCAGGGTCTGATGGTGGACGTGGCAGGATCTTCTCTAGAAGTTTAGTTTCCTTGTACTTGTTTTCACTTGGCCCCTGGACTGTGTGTGTCTAAACTGCTTGTTGTCAAGATGCCTTCAGTTGCTCGCTGCATTTTTCTTTCCTTTCGGTGTCCAGACTAATGCTCGCCTGGGGATCCTGTCCGTTTCCATTGTTGTTAAGTGCTGGGTTGGTAATATATTAGTCTTCATTTAAAACCTTACTTCGGAAATGTTCAACAGCACCTTAAAAAAAAAGCCCATGGGCTTTTGTTCTTTTTAATGAAGTTGGGAGAAATGCAATGAAAATAATCTCTTGCACTTCGCATAAAAGAACTCAATTAATTTACCGGTTTTGCCTTCAGCTTCTCTACTCCTTGCAGGTTTTGGCTGGCAGCTTCCTTGGTGTCAAGTTCCCTCTTCTCAGCTCCCTCCCAGGGCTCAGTTTTGTAAAGCTTTTGGCTGTAAAAGCATGTTGATACTGGTGGACTGGCTCACGGGCTGCTGCTTGGGCAGCCCTGTGAGTGCCACGAGAGTCTGAGCCTTTTCCTAAGAGGCTGTCAGAGCCAGGAGCACCAACACAGTCCCCTGGGCTTGGTCCAGGTACCCTGAGCTTAGGACTGGGTTCAGTGTCAGGAAAACCTTGGCAGGTTTGTCCCAAGTGCCACCAGCGACCATCGTTAGTTGGGCAGGGTTCTTTTGAGGTCCACTGTTGGGCAGGAGGGGCTGCTGGTGGGGCATTTAATGTTGGTAGAATGCTTGGTTTTCAGTGGAGCAGCAGGATGCTTTCCCTGCAGGGAACTCCAGTGGTGTCTGAGTTGGGAGCTGCTGGGCAATGCTGGGTCACACTCGGTGCCTGGGAGATATTTGTGCACATGTGTGTTTGCACATGCTGCCCTTTCCCGCCCGGTCTGGAGAGCCCTGGGAGCCTCCCAGGCAGCCTGTTAGTGGGCAAGATAAAGTCCTGATTTTGGGAGCCTCAAGCACAGTGGTCTCGGCAGGTATTGTAGGTTTATCTGTCCCTTTTCCCTTGCCCCATTCCTGACCAGAGTGGGAATTTGGCTGTGTCTGGAGCATGGCTGGCACGCAGGGCCGGAACAGCTGCCTGGATAAGTGAGACAGTGAGGAGGAGCAGGGATGCTATCAGATGTAGGGCTGCTTTGGGACAGGGATTAAGAGTGGAGAGGTGGGTGAGTCAGGATCCCTTCTGAATTTCCAGCAGCAATGTCCTTCTGTCTGTCCCTCCTTCCTCCTATGTGGCCTCTCCTGTCACAGTGCTGAGCCCAGGCATTAAAGAGGTTGCTGGGTGGGTTTCTGTCTCAGCAAGTGCAGGCAACTGCTGCTGCTGCTGCAGGGTTCTGACTCCTGCATGAAGCTCTAAAATCAACCATTTTTTTCAAGGAAAGACTTTTTAAAGGCCATTTCAGGTAGCTCTGGAGGACTACAAAACATGGTGTACTCTAACAGCCATAAGCAGATGTAACTAACCCTTTGAAGCTCTCTTTGTCCCATTGAAGAGTTTTGGTTGTTTCCCATGGTACCTCGGGGATCATCATCTGGGTGAAAGGAAGACAGGGTGTGGTGCCGTGCACCCCCCTGCCTCATGCTCGTGTAAATACTGTGGTGTCCTGATGTGCTTGACATCCTTGCCTGCATTCTATACTTTTATTTCTGGATCATGGGAAGATCATAAGAACAAAGAGGATAGCAGAAAAGTAAGCAATAGAATTTCTCTTTGGTGTCCCCTGTAAGTGATGCTGATGCAAAAGCAGTGTGATGTGGCCTGAAGCAGCTCTCCTTGCTGGAGCTGACCACGCCTGATGTGCTGAGAGTGACCTGTTCTGCTGCTGTTGGGGTGATTCAGTGCAGGATAAAGCATGTGTTGAGCACCTGGTTCATGGTGCATGGCTTAAAAGCATCAGTAGCCTCTTAGCTCACCTGTGCTGCAGAAGTGCTGTGTTAAAGCAGGGTTTTGGGTGAAGCTCCCCAGTTTCAGTGCAGTCCCTGGGCAGAGCTGACTGTGTCACTGGGGTGGTAGGTCAGCAGTGCTGAGTCTGTCTGCAGACAGCTCCTCTGCCCCTGCTCATGGCCTGGATGTGTGCTCAGTTAGCCCTGCAGTGTGTGGCATCCCTTGGGATGGGAGGTGGGGGCTTTTCTTCTGGCAAAGGAAAAGGAGCAAATCTTGTCCTGGAAAACTTCTGTCAAGGGAAGAGAAAGCAAAAAGTGGGTGTCAGATCAGGAACTGGCTGCAGGAGATGCTGAATGCCCTGGGACCCCATGGTGTCCTGCCCAGCCACAACTCCTACGCAGGCTCTGCTCCTGTGAGATGGTGGCACAGAAAGAGTTGGGTATTCCTTTCAGTTGGGGTTGTGCCCTGCCTGTAGGAAAGCACAGAGCAAGGTCTTAATTAAGGCAACAGCAAGGAAGCGAGAGCGTCCTTGGAGGCAAATGGAGAAGCCTTCAGAGTGTTGCGGTCTCTGTTTACTTCTCACATGTCTGAAAGCTTTTCATAAATGTGTGGTTCAGAAATGGGGTTAAGATCCAGGATTTCTGTGGCGACTTGGGGCTGCCTTAATCAAGGAGTTTCCAAACCCCTTTGTGCTGAAGGCTATACAGAAAGGTGTCTTGTGGGACACTTCTCCTCCCCATCCCGCAGATGTCAAAAATCTCTGCCTGAAGAGCACTCAACACACTGTGGGTGAGAATCTGGATGTGAGACCTCAGATCACAAAAGAAAAATGCTGTATAAATTGCTGACTTGCAGATTAACCCCATCATGCTCCTTTGTAGCAGCTGAGCTGGAGGCAGAGTTGGCTCTTGGGGCTGTCCTGGGGCTGCTGCTTGTGGTGCAGAACTGAAGCTTGCAGGGGCGAGGAGTAGGTCTGGGTGGTCAGCCTGGATTGGAAAACTCTCATGGTCTTATAAAAAAGGGGAGAGCTGGTGTGGCAGGAGGCTGTATGGTGCTGCAGCACCTTAGAAAGGATTCTTGCCAGCCTCAAAGTGTTGTTGGTGGTTGCTGGGTATCGCTTTTAATCCCCTACCAAAATGAAGAGTTTGATGTATTAGTGTCAGGTTTCGGGCTGTAACGTGCATAGTTTGGGCACACGTGAGCAGCACCTGGCCCAGGTGCCCAGCCATGTGCTCACCCCAAGAGACCCAGTGTGCCCTCGATGTCAGCTGTTTGCTGCACTGGAGCGAGGGTCTGACTGATTGCTGGGTAATTAAAAGCCTCCAGGACCCATCCATGGCTGTGTTAGGAAGTCCACATGAGCATGGAATGTTTGCATGGCTGACGGGGGATGAAGATGGTTTGATTTCACATGGGCAATTATTTGGCTGGTGGTTGTGCTCAGGAGCTGAGCAGAGCGTCAGGATCCCAGCATACCTGATGCTGCATCCACGCCCAAAGAGATCATCCCAGGAGTTTGCCGTGGCTTGTCTCACCAACCTGTGTCCCTGCCCAGGTGTCCTGGTCGGAGTGGTCCTGCGCTATGGTATCCACGTCCCCAGCGACGTCAACAACGTGACACTGAGCTGCCAAGTGCAGACCAGCCCTGCCACCCTGCTGGTCAATGTCAGTGGGAAGTACTACGAGTACACCTTGAAGGGGGAAATCAGTGCCCAGGAGCTCAACAACGTCCAGGATAATGAGATGCTAAGAAAGGTAAGGGAGTTGGCAACTGGAGAGGTGAGCGGTGCTTCCCACTCACTCCATGGGGTTAGTCCTGGCTCTGCTGGATTAAGTGATTTTGTTTTTTAAACTTGTGATTGTGATCAGCTATAAATTATAAGTTGAACACAATCTAATGAAACTCTAATTTCAGCTGATCTTAATTTAAGCTGTATAGACTCTGGGATGTGTCTCCAGAAGATCTCAGAAGACACATCCTTGGCATTGACCCAACAGCATTTCACCTGAGGGGGGTTCAGGGTTTCCTCCATTTATTACTTTCTTATTTGTGTTTTGTCTTGCAAAGTTTTAACAAATCATTTTACTGTTTTTTTTTTTTTTTATCTTTCTTAACAGGTGACTTTTGATCCTGAAGTATTTTTCAACATTTTGCTTCCTCCAATTATATTTTATGCAGGCTACAGCTTGAAAAGGGTACGTGCCTTTACAGTGCCGACGTTTTTAGTTCCTCTGCCTCCAGAGAATTTTTAATACTTGCAAGTGTTTTAATGCTTGCTCAGCAGGCCAGGGTGGTGGAGGTGGGTATGGTTTTCCCCAGCACATGCAGGATTGAGGGAAGCAGAACTGAGTGCCCCAGTCATTCTCATCTGTCCCTTTGCCCTGGAAAGGGTCAGTGACTTCAACAGTTTCCAGCATGGGTTTGCACAGGGATTTTTGAGGTCAGCCAGGCCATTTCAGCCATCCCTGCTTTCCAAACACATAGGAGTGTGGGAAGCTTTTAGAAAGCAGCAGCTCTCTGAAATGCTGACTTGGAATGAGAGGAAAATGATGCTGTTTAGCTTGCGGGAGAAGGAAGGAGGAACGCTGCTGGGTTAGGAAATCAGTTCCCAGGACTTGAAACAGCATCCTATTAAATACACAGGTACAAGAAAATGGTATATTCATGTTTATTAATGCTGCTTTAACTGCTGGTCTGGCAGTGTGCTGTGCTGGGCACCTCCTGCGTGTCCAGCTCATGATGCCTGAGCTGGGTCCAAGTTGCTGCTGACACTGTAGGTGCCTGTGCAGGCTTGAAATAAATTGTTAGCAAAATATAATTCAGTTTTGGTGTTTTTTTCTACTTCTAGAGGCACTTCTTCAGAAACTTGGGATCCATCCTGGCATACGCTTTTCTCGGCACTGCCATTTCATGCCTGGTGATCGGGTGAGTAAATGGAGCTGGTCAGGTTCTTCCACAGGAGTTTGAGCTGTGCTTGGAGACAATGCCTGAGCCTGGAGCTGCAGATGCTAATCCCAGCTCTGAAAGGTCTCACAGGCTCTGCTCCTACTGCTCTGCAGCAGCAAATAATACTATTTACTGTCCAGACTGCTGCTGTGGACGGAGTGGTTGCTGTCTAATTGCAGAGTGCTCTCTCAGCATCCCATGGTAATAGTCATTCATGGCAAGGAAGGTTTCACAGTTCTCTGAAGATTATCTTGAAAAACCAGCAGCTTCACATTCTTGAAAGCATAGCCCTAATGAGCTTGAGACACAAGAGTAGAAAGGCAGGATCATAAACACGGGTGCCTGGTGAGCACAGATGTGTTTCAAATTATTTATCCCTCTGTGCAGAGGGAGCTTGATGATTCCTGCTCTGAGCGCACAGGCTGGGAAAACATAGCATGTTTTCCGTTGGAGTCCAGTGGATTCAAGCAAGCTCAGCATCTGCATTATCTGTTCCTCGCTGAAAGTTTTGGCCATTTCGAAGTCAGGCCGAGGTCATCCCACTGAATGGTGTTCATGTGAGCACTGCAAAGTGATGGTGGGATCCCACAAGCCTGGCTCCTGCTTTTCTTTAGCTGTGTTATGCTCATTGAGGAGTTCTGGTCCCAGTTCCTCTCTGGCACTGTGTGGTCGAGTGCAGCAGGTGCTTTGGTGTGTATGGTCCTGCACTCACCTCCAAGATCATGGCCCTGGGGTTTCACCAGGCTCAGCTGATCCTGTTCCTTGATGTTCTGGCATTTGGATAACTTTTGAGGTTATCTGGCAAATTCAGGGGAATTGAGCGAATTTGAATGTTGTTTTAATGCACTGCAGAGATGAGTAATTGCCTCTTCTAATCACCAGTTCTGTTGTGTATGGCTGTGTGGCGCTGATGAAAGTCACTGGGCAGCTCGGGGGAGACTTCTACTTCACTGACTGCCTCCTGTTCGGTGCCATTGTGTCAGCTACTGACCCAGGTATGTTAAATCGTTATGTTTCCCCTCATATTACCTGTGTTTTGGTCTGTTTTCAGGGGAAGAAAGTCTGAAACCTCTACAAGTTCCCTCCTTTTGAATTTTGGAGTTTAATTTATTTGTGGGATTCTTAGAGATCCAGTTTGTCTCTGTGCTTTTTTATTTCCTTCCAGTTTTGTGTAACATAGCTTTCAAACCTCTGATTTCCTGAATCCTTGTTTACAGTGAAATCTCTCTTGACTTTGCTGGGTTTTGGGACAGGTCCACCGTGTTGCTGCCATCATGTCCCAGCAGCTGATGCAGAACAAGATGTCTAATGTGGGGAGGGTTCAGTTTATAGTTTTAGTTAGTTGAGCTATTTTCTCCTGCTTCCATTGTGATAGGATTTAATCTAATTGAAATTAGATTAATGAAACACCTTAATGAGCAGTGCTGAGGACAGTAGTAACATCTTGGTCTACTGATGCACTTTATAAATCAAAGCTATGAAAAACATGCCTTATCTAACTGAATTGTACTTAGTCATGATTGCTTTTGTGTGGTAGCTGTTTATTTGTATGCTCCGACTTCGTGTAAAAACACAAGACCGCAAAAAGGCCTCTCTTTGCTCCTGCCCTTTGCTGAGCAGGGCTTGAATTCCTTCCTTTGTAGACTGGCTACTACTTGTGAGAGCAGCATGGGGTGGCAGCATCACCCCCTTCCTAATGCTACAGTAGTTTTGTTGGATATTTTTAAATGCAGATATGGGTCAGTTTTGCTTGGAACGGAGAGATTACACACCTGGATAAGCCCAGTCTTCTGCCCTTTTGAAACAAGTGTCATTTCCAGATGAATTGGGACTTTTACCTGTTCATTTTGACAATCAGTCATTTTTATTTTCAAAAGCAAAATGAGGAGCACCATATGTATAAGCATATATGCAGGAATAACACTGCAGAGCACAACCCGCAGCACAGCGTGGCAGTAGCCATGTCTGTCTGCCAGGAGGAGGTGTGAGATGTGCATTCCCCATGAGCTTGTAATAATTTATTTTTTATGTTTCCCTAAGATTTGCCAGGTATTGGTGTGACTATTACTGCTGCCATTTTTATTTTTTAAAAAGTGATTTCCCAGCTTCTTCAAACGTGCCTGGGTTGGGTGTTCAGTTGTTCAGGTTGGATCAGGCCTTCAGTTCCCTGAGCAGGGAGCTGTTCCCATGTGGCTGCAAGATGGATTTTCCTCCCTGGAACTTAGCTGGGGAGTTAACACTGAAATGGGGGCACATTTCTAAAGTGGGGATCACCCCACAGAAGTGGTGGTGGTGTAGAAGGTCTGATGGCAGGTGGGCAGAGGCCAGGACTGTGGGTAGAAGTAATGCTTAGAAATGCTGCAGGCAAGCTGTCAGTGTCGTGTCCCTCCTTCAGGCTTTGAAATAGGAACAAGAAGATTTCACACGTTAAAATGGAGCATCTCCCAGGGCATAAAGGGGTTAAACCCTCCCAGTGTGCCCCAGTGAGTCCCTGAGTGCTGTTTGAAAGGACTTTCACAGAAGTTGATTGGAATTATCTCAGCCCTCGGCAGCAGCCTGGCCTGTGCCTGATTGATGACCATCTCTGTCTTGCTTTAGGTGGTTTTGCAAGGCTCATACACAAAGCCTTCTGCTTTTCATTATCTTCATGGAGCCTCTGGATCACAGAAGGGCTTGAGGGTACTCCAGTATCTGCCATGTGGCTGTAAATCACAGAAACTCCCACATGGGGTCTGAGCCAATGCCTGATTTTTTTCCAGTCATGTCTGAAATGTTACACATCTGTGCTGGCACTTGCAGTGTGTCACCCTGTGTTGAATCTGTGGATTTATCTCAAAGTATTAGGAATAGAAGGAAAAGGCAGTCATTGTTCTGGACAAGCCTGATCCTCCCGGTCTTCTGCAGGTGGAGGAAGGCTCTCCCTGATGCTCCGAGGTAACGGCATCCCAACAGCTGGATGGCTCTTGCCAGCATGGTACAGGGGTACTGGCACCATGAGCTCAGACCCCCAGGAAGGTCAGAGCAGAGCTTTATGTCTGCCTGTAAAAGATTCAATAGACCAGGATGTGTTTTAGTAAAAGGAGGAGGAGGGAAGTGATGAAGCAAATCCAAATGTGAAATAGCAGAAGGAGGACTGTCAAAGGGAGCACGGGGGGCAGCTGGCACCGTCACAGCAGAGTGGCACAGATGTGCAGTGAGGCAGCTTTCTAATAAGGGACGTTTTGTCTTTGATTACACCAAAATAACAGCACCTTTTGAAAGTCTCTCTATTTTTCTATTTGTCAGTGACTGTCCTTGCCATATTCCATGAGCTCCAGGTTGATGTTGAGCTGTATGCCCTTCTCTTTGGCGAAAGCGTCCTCAATGATGCCGTTGCCATAGTGCTGTCTTCGTAAGTGTCTTCCGTTCTTATTTTTAATTGTTATGTATGTTACATGTCAGGTGTTGAGGGGGGGGCCACCTGACCTTGCTCCTGTAAAATAGGAGCAAGGGTGTTTGCAGGAGCATATTAAGTGTCCCAAAAAGCTGTAGTGACCTTCTGATGCATGTCCTCATTGCAGACTTGGGATTACAGGTTGTCCTTACAACTTCCCCCTGCACGATGGATAGTTCTATTTTGCTTTTATGGTCAGTTGACTCATCCATATGGGTCAGTTTTTATGTCCCTCTGAAACAAGAAAAGCACCATGTCTGCATTTCAGCCACAGGACCCCACTGAAAACCCTTGCTGATGGCTTTTCTCTTACCTGCCTTCATTCCCCTCCACAAATATCTGCTTTTGTTTAGGTGGAAATAGCTGGTAAAGCAGCTGTTTCCTTTCTCTCCCCACTTTCTGTGCATTGAGAAGGTGGTGCTTCTTACAGCTGGAGTTAATGCCCTGGACTAAACACAGGGGAAACTTGCTGCCTTTCTAAAGGATGTTTTATATTCTTTAATATTTTATGTCCTCTGCATGCAGGACGTATTTTATCTGCTTCTTCACTGTGTTGTCATTGCGGGAATTTGTTTGGAAATATATAATATCTGCAATGGTGACAGCTTAACATATAGCTCAGACTAATGCAGAAAATATTTCTGGAATACTTGTCACTCCAGCGTGCTGGTTGTGTGGGTTTTACTGGAGGCAGCAAGTAACTTACTGTGAGCTGTGAATTGCCACCCGTGTAAGCTGTGTTTACTGAACTGAGTGTTTCTGTTGGGGTTTCTGGAACTGTTTGTATTGCTCACTCTGGCTCTTGTGCTGGATGTGTCACCGCTGGTGCGAGGGGAAACGCTGCACAGCCCACATTGTGTTTCAGAAGTGATCCTGAGTGAGGAAGGGATGGGGTCTCCCAGCCTGTGCTGGGAGGTTCTGGGTGGGAGTGGGTGGATTCAGCATCAGAGTAATGGAATTTGTGGTGGATCACACGTAGGTGATGGCACCATGTGCAGTGATTTACCTCTTGCACTGTTTTAGTACCAGCTTTGTAGCTGTTGCTCTGATTTCCTGCCTTCCTCTCTCCACAAGCTGAGCTCAGTCCACCCCCTCTACAAAACAGGATAATTTGCACCAAGGCAGCAGCTCTGAGCTCAGTCAGCAGTTATTTAATTTTGCTGCAGAGTTTTTGGGCAGAGGGGCCTGGCAGCATGAGGCGCTTCTCAAGGGCATCTCAGCAGTTGTCCTCTCTCTGATTTAAAGCTTGCCCTGGCCAGTCTTCTCTGTCAGCCATAAGCAGTGCAAGGCAGCCCCAGGCTGCACCACAGGTATCTCACATTCAGTGCAGGTAGTTCAAGTCACCTGCGCATAACCACGTCTTGGATGCAAGGAGGAGGTGAGGGTCTCTTGTGCCAAGGAGGAGAGCTCCTCCAGGAGCAGTCCATAGCTCCTACTTATGGTTCCCCATTTTTAAATTTAGTTTGGCATTTGCCTGTTTCACAGCAGTGGCGTAAGTGGGCGAACCACACGGGGATGGTTCTGCTCCCACAAGCACAGCAGGACCTGCTCCCCAGTTAGGAGCTGCTGGGAAGGCGAGGAAGTAGGTGGTTTCTGGGCAGGTGGGCTGTGCTGTTGGAGGAGCTGCCCCCTGGGTGACAGATGGTGGTGGATCCCACCCTGTTCCAGGGTGAAGGGGAGCTCCAGCCACAGCTGGATGATTGGTGGGATTGGTGATTGCCCCAGGGAGTGTTGTCAGCTCCTTGCATGGGGTTTCTGCCGGGAGCTGGGTGCTCCAAGGCCCCTCTTCTCCCTGCTTTCAGCCCCAGACAAATGTCTGTTCCCATGCTTAGAGAGCAGGATCCGTGCCTTTCTGTCGCTGCCTTGTGCTGCCTTGGCCTGGCTTGGCTTGCAGCAGCAGGGAACTTGTTGCAGGGTGAAGAGGAATTGAACCCAGAACTGAAAGCCAGTGGGCAGTGAGGTGCTGGGGCTGCGGTTTGGGAGCAGTGGGGTAAATGCAGCCACAGGGTCTCTACCTGCTTCTTCCAAAGGGAGGTTTCACAGAGACTAAACACCATGGGGATCCCCACGGGCAGCTGGCAATAAGGTCTTATTAGCGATGCAAAAACCAAAGCCAGAAGGAGAACTGTAAGAGATTAAAACACAAAGCCAACACCCAAAGAGCTGGTTGTGGAGGGGAAATGAAACCAGTCTGGATTTTAAAAAAAAAAAAGCCACGAAACCCCAAACCCCAGAACAAGAGCACATTGGTGAATGAAAAGTAAAAAAAGGAGTTGATGAAAGGAATTAAATCACAGGGAGAAATCTGCAGCTTGCAGTGTAAAAGGCAATGCAGAAAAATGAGATGTATTAAAGGCAGGGAAGTTTAGCAAAGGAAGTGACCCATGATATGTTGGAAAGGGGGGGGACTGTCATTCTTGTTGCAGGAAAATGTTAGTGCGTAGTTAGGAGAGAAAGATGCAGGATGTGTGTGCAAGGCAGTAAGTGCCTGTTCCAGCATAACTCAGCAGGTTAAACAGTGTTTAAAGTTCACATACAGGGGTTTTAAGAGAGCCAGCCAAGGAATTGTTAACTAGGAAGTTAATGTTTTTGGTAAGTTTATATCAAAGAAAGCAATGTAAGGAGTCTATGAATGGGATTTAGGAGCTGGATAAGGGCCCCCCGGTAAATCAGCCTTTCCAGGTAAAACAGTGGAATTGCTCATGCGAGGCTCGGCTCATCAGGACTTGGCAGGGAGCAGATTCAGTAATGGGATCAGCGTGGCAGACCTGTTTGCTGTCTCATCACAAAGGTCTGCTGAGGTTTGGTGGGTGCAGAGAATAGTGTTCTGTTGTGAATGGCACGGTGCCATCTGCCTTGCTCCCCTGTGATATTGCACTTCAGAACTCAGAGCAGTGCAAACTAAATGTAGTGCATGTTAAATGTGGCAAAACAGCAGAACTTACAGTTCTCCAGGGGATATTCACATGAGCCACCTCGGTGGAGTCGATGGAGAAATTTAGGCTTCCCACTTGAATGGTTTGTGGTCCCACAGTGCTTGGCTTTTACAGAGAGCTCCTGCCAAACCCCCAAAATACCATCATAAATGACAGATCATGTGAGGGACAGGCTTTGGTCTGATGTTCTCTAGGAGTAAATGCAGAGCCATGCCTGGGAGGGGTGGCTGAAATGCAGACAGCCGGTGGTAGGGAAGGGGATCCCAAACTCCCTGGGACAGGGTGGGTGTGCTGCAATCCCAGGGGATTGCAGTGTCTCCCCGATTCCTCAGGCTCAGTGGCTTCAGCAGTCGTGGCACTTTGCAAGGCTCATGTAGCACTGTGAGGTGCCTCTGCCTCCAGACTAAGGAGTGTTTTGTGTGTGCTTTCCCTCCCTCTTCCAGTTCAATAGTTGCGTATCAGCCAGCGGGCGACAACAGCCACACGTTTGATGTCACAGCGATGTTCAAGTCCATCGGGATCTTCCTGGGGATATTCAGTGGATCTTTTGCAATGGGAGCAGCTACTGGAGTTGTGACAGCTTTAATATCCTTTTTGTTGTTGTTTTTTTTTCCCAAGTGTTTGCATGAGAGCTTCTTCTTTTGCTGTGCTGCATCTCACCCAGATGTTTAATGGGTTTTTTCCCCTAAATTAACGAAGGGCAGTACCATGGCCTTTTTAAGGGCAGACTGCGTAGTGTTGATGGGATGCACAATTAGATTTGATATGCTCTTAGCCTGCAGTGTCCCTCCAAATTGTCCTTAACTATCTTCAACGTCACCAAGTTCACGAAACTTCGGGAGTTCCCGTTGCTGGAGACTGGCTTGTTCTTTTTGATGTCCTGGAGCACATTCCTGCTGGCTGAAGCCTGCGGCTTTACAGGCAAGCTCCAGCACAGCCCTGCCTCTGGGATGGAGATCTGCAGGGGTGATGGGGCCACTGAGTTTTGCTTCTTCCAGTATCAATTGCAGCCGGGGTTCTCCCTCTGCTTGAAGAAGTTTAATTTCTCTGGGTTCTGGGGTTACTGCATTAAGTCCCCTACACTACTGGGGTTTTGCTCAGCTCCCTTTTCATGACCAGGAGTCTAATATGATGCTCTGCTCCTCAGGTGTGGTGGCTGTGCTCTTCTGTGGGATCACACAGGCCCATTATACCTATAACAACTTATCTACAGAGTCCCAGCACAGAACTAAGCAGGTGAGAACTCCTCAGCCCCCTTCAGCCTCTCTGAATTTCAAGTTGAATATTTTTTCCTTCCCTCTAGCCAGAATTAGGTGCATCTGTCTTCCTACAGCTAGATTTTACTAGGGTTGCTTCTGCAGAAGTATTTATTGGGTGATGGATGGGCTGACGTGCTTTTCTTGTTATATCTATATTATGTCTAACTCACTTTTAATTTGTTTTTCTCTTTCAGTTGTTTGAGCTTCTGAATTTCTTGGCAGAAAACTTCATCTTCTCCTACATGGGACTTGCACTGTTCACCTTCCAGAACCATGTCTTTAACCCTACCTTTGTGGTGGGGGCTTTCGTATCCTTTGGAGCCCATTTTATAAGACAAAGAAAGAAAGGGAGAGGTGCCTCATTCCCTCTCATGTGTTTTTCATTCAAATGAGTGGGTTTGGTTTTTTCCAATGCAGTTTAGCTTTATTTTTAAAAGGGGATTTCTGCCACGTAGTGATGCCTTTGCTGGTTATTTTAAGAAGATAAGGAGATTCTTTTCCCAGTTTTTCTGGTTTTTTTTGTTTTTTTCCTTACCCCCGTCTTCTCTCCTCTCGTGGGCATTTGAATCAGCTGCTGCAGGGACTTGTCATTCAGTGTGACTGTGATGCCAAATGCCAGGCTGTCAAGTGCCAGCGTGGCACCACGAGTGGCTGGTTTAGCCATTTATTTCCTCTTTCCTCTGTTAGTCCACTTTGTTAACCCTGAAAAAAGCCTTTTTATTGGTCAAACAGCACAGTTAAAGCTACAGTAGATGCCTCTTAATGATGTAATGAGAAAGGATTTCCACTTCTGCAGGCTGATGCTGACGGGGACAAGAGATTGGCCCTGGTGTGTCTCAAAAAAACCCAAGGATTTTGAAGGAATTTTTTTCGTATCACAGGGAAGCCAGTTAAATGTGCAGAATTATTTTCACCCTTTGCATTCACTTGACACAGGTTTATACTGATAAATAAAACATTGTTACTTCTCAGTGTGGCCTGTGGGTTTGCAGCAGGCTCAGCTGGATTTCTGCAATGAGCTTTTGTGGGGTTGCAGTGGGGTAAGGGAGGTGTAGAGCAGGGAAATGCCATTTGGGTGGTTTATATTGGAATTTTATGCTGTGGCTCTTCAGTGGGAACTGGCTAACTCGCTGATGAAATAGCTCATTCATGAGAGAGATCATGAAATACGTCTCTTATGCAAATTCGTGGTGTTCAGGAAAGAACATAAAAGCTGGAAGCATTTTCCACATTATTCGAGGCTGCACTGAATACTGGCTCCAAGATTATTTTTGCCATCTGGGTGCTGGTATTAAAAGACTCGGCTTCAAAGATAAAAAGCAATATGAAGGGGCTGGTGATTCTTGTATCTCACAGGCTATGAAAACAGAAAGAGTATTACTTTTTTTTTCCTTCTGAACTGCTGCTGCTTTCATTTTGCTGAATAATCTTTGGGAATGGGACTTGGCTTAAAGCTTCAAACCCAGCTGTGAAGTGTGGCATGCCAGGGAATGTCAGAGGGGTTGTCGTAGCTGTGATAACTCGAGCTTCACAGAAGACAAATAATTCTTGGGGTGGAAAATGGACCTGGCAGGGGAAAGCATACAGTGGAAATGGTGGTTTTTCTCTCCTCTCACTTGCCTAACACATCCTTTCATCATTTCCCTTGTTTATTTGTGCTTGTCTCTGTATGATACTCCTGAATTGCAGTGTGTGCTTTGCTTCAGCAAGGCAGTAGCCTGCTCTCCCCACACTGCTGTGGCACTTGGAGCTGGTTTATTGTTCCTTGCAGCCCGACAACCAGCATTTCTGTGGCTCCCCAGCGTTTCCGTCAGGCAGCAGAAATTGGCTCTCCATGCAGGTGGGATGTGGTGGGAGACACAGGAAGAGCAATTTCCTTAACATGTGCAAATACAGCTTGCTATCTTCCTAGGAAGAGCTGCCAATATTTACCCACTGTCATTTTTACTGAATTTGGGGAGAAGAAATAAGATCGGAACAAACTTGCAGCACATGATGATGTTTGCTGGTATGTTACTGCATCCTTGTCTCCAACCTGTGTGGCCCGTTGGCACCTCCTTGCCCCTGAGAACCTGGGAATATTCCTTATTCAACTTTAAATCTCTTATGGGCAACATCTGGAGAGGAGGCTGGGCAGGAAAGGGCTCCCTTAAGCTTGGTGGTGTGAATGCCTTGGTTTGGGGGTGTGGGAATGAGCTCCTCCTGCCCCGCTTTGAGTGCATGGCGTGGGACAGGAGTGATGATAAAATCATCACTGTTCTTCTCTGGTTGTGGATGTGCCATCCGAGGGGCAGGACCAGATGTGGGGCAGCAAGGTGCAAACCCCACTGGCAGTGGGGGTGGACTGTTCTGACCTGGCTGCTGCAGTGTCCCTTCCCCGGCAGGGCTGCGAGGAGCCATGGCCTTCGCCCTGGCCATCCGCGACACGGCCACGTACGCCCGGCAGATGATGTTCAGCACAACCCTCCTCATCGTCTTCTTCACGGTGTGGGTGTTCGGCGGGGGCACCACGGCCATGCTGTCCTGCCTGAACATCCGGTGAGTGCACGGGTCTCTCCTGCCACAGCACGTCCTCTCCCTCCTCCTGCTCTTCAGTTAAGCTGCTTGGTTTAAAGAGACAAGAGGAAGATCACATCCCTCTCCCCCGGAGCCCGGCACGGACCCTCCTGGCATTGTGTGTGTAACCCTGTGCTTGTTTTCCCCTCCACAGGGTCGGCGTGGATGCGGATCAGGAGAATGTGGTGAGTGAATTTCACTCAGCAGAGGGATCTGCACTGCACCCATTGGGGCAGGGGTTACATCGAGACCCTGTGAATGCCCATCTGTGCTCCGCTTCCTTCCAGCTGTAGGAGAGTTTTTAGCTCCACTGGTGAAAGAGTTTGCAGTCAGTGGGAGTCACAGCTTTTCTGTGCTGTCTGGGGTTAGAATGAGCCTTGCTTTGACTCATCTGGAAAGAAGAACACAGAAGTAATGCTGGACTGTTTAGTCAGTCCACGTTGCTGCTGCAATAGACTGATCTCTCTCTTGCTGGATTTGAAATAAATCCCAAAATGAGCATGACATGGAGGCTCTCTACCTCATCCAAGCATCCAGGGCAGTACAGAAACACCATTTACTGACTGCTTTTATGTAGCATCTTCTGTCCCACTTTTACCCATGGGTACCCTCAACCCCTCCTTTGCTCCCTGTTTCCTGTGGGGAGTTATGTGGCAGGCCCAGAACCACTGACCACACTGAGCTAAATGCTGGAGCCTTGGGAGTTTTCCTGCCTGTTAGCTCTGAGCTGTCTCACTCATGCATCTGCAGCTTGGTCGTGCTGTGACTGTGACTCTCCTTGATTTCAGTGTGGGTTCTGCGCCTTGGAGGTTCATTTTATTCAGAGCCATTTATTGGGCTTTTCACCTCCTGGAGAGAAAGTATCAAATGCTCTAGGCAGCCCAGAGCCATAAACCTGTAAGCCAGATTTCTCTGAAATACATAATTGTATTCATAGTCCCCTCCAAACGGTTTTATTTTTTTTTTCTCTGACTAAAAGGAAACCTGGAGTGCCCATAACACACAATTATTTGCATACAGAAATCTCAGGCGAGATCTGATGGAGGCTGAACCTGTCAGTCACTATTAAATATGATGTCTGGATGGAGCCACTGGCTCTGAGGCACTTTAAACCTTGGGGCCGGATGCTGGAAGGCTCTAGCAGAAAAATGGTCACTCTGTGCTTTGATATCACCTCCCTAAGGCTGCTAAATGCTGCTAAATGCAGAGTGTGAGCTGGAAGCACCTTCAGGCTGTTGTGGTGTGAATGTCCTTGTACTCACTGAAACCCAAAGGTTTCTTCTGAAGGGACAGTGGGAAGGTGTGTCTTCTTATGTCCCCTGAGGATAATCCAGTGTCCTGTGGGGTCTCCTAGCCCTGATCCAGGTCACTGCACGTAGCCCTGCCCCTGTTTAATGTTTTGCTCTTCCACAGGGTGTCCCAGAAAGCGAGAGGAGGAGTACGAAGGCCGAGAGCGCTTGGCTCTTCCGCATGTGGTACAACTTCGATCACAAGTATCCTTGGATGGCGGTCGGTGCGTGCCTTGTCAAATCCCACTGCCCCAAGCAGCCCTTGTTGACTTGGAGCATGACTTTCTCCCTGCTTAGCAGAGGAGCTTTCCCGTTACACTGCTGGATTTTGGTTTGCACCTACTCATGTCTGTGAGAAATGACCATTTCCACCTACCATCAGTGGGAACGCAGAGGCAGCTCCATTCAAAGCTGGGCTCTCCAAGGCTGCAATCCCAGGGGCTCCTTGATCCCACTGGCAGGAAGGGCAGTGGGACTTCTCATTTGCAGCCCTCTTGCTAAATCTGTGCCCCTCCTCCCTTTCAGGTGCTGTGCTATGAATTAGGGGAGGAGTGGTGTCCGTCTGAGAGGCACAGGCTGATGGGACAAGTGATGCTGCTGAGCATCTTACCAGGGCTGTGTCCTGATTGACTCATGTTCTGCTCTATTTGGTTGCATTCATGTTTCTCATCCCTATAATTTTTGAGCTTCCAGGCACTTGTGTTTCTTTCTTTCCTGTGATTCCCTCGAGACACTGATTCCCTCGCTGCTGCCATCCCACCCCTTGACTTAGCACCATCGTCCTGTTCCTGTTTCTTCCTTAACCCTCTCCATAGCTATCTAAAGCCTCTCCTGACACACAGTGGTCCCCCACTGACCACCACGCTCCCGGGGTGCTGTGGGCCCGTTGCCCGGTGCCTGACGAGTCCGCAGGCGTACGAGGTGAGTCCATCGGTGTCCTCTCTGTCACAGGGTTGGTGGGTTTAACATGTTTATCTTTTGTGTTATTTTTGGATGCTGCTCTGCAGCATCGAGCTGGGAGCCAGAGGGGAGATCAGATATTGGGGCTGATGGGTGAGCTAATTCCCATGAGCATTTTGCTTTTCCAGCCCACTGTTTGGTCATGAAGGGATTTTTGGTGTATTCGTGGTGGTTTCTCAGTGACTGGCTCAATGAAGCTGCCATGGCTGTCCTTTCCCAGGCCCAGCTGGGAGGACACACAATTTATCATCTCCTTCTTTCTTCTGGCCTTGCAGCTGAGCTATTTCTGCAGCCCCTCCAGCTGCATCACTCACAACCAGAAAGACTGCCAGCATTGCCATGCTCAGGAGCCCCTTGCAGCAGCAGCTCTCCATGGCAGGAGTTTTCTTGCCCTGTCTGCAAAGTATCAGCACCAGGTTCCCTGACAAACCAGAGGTGTCTGTGGGGGGTTAGTGATGGGGTTTCTGTGCTCATAGGTATTTTGGTCCTGTCAAAGCCACTCAAAACTGCATTCCCCATGTATCTGGGTATGGCACCAGAAAGAGGAGAGCTGGGAGAGCCCTTTTAGTCAGTGTGCAGAGAAATCAGTGTGTGGTGCGAGTCACCTGGGCTCAGAGATGTGTGTGTGGTGTGTACTGTTATGGTCACGGTGCAGCGGGGTCTGTGCTTCGGTGCCTCAATCTGCTCCTCACCATCACTGTGCGATTGCAAACAGCTGTTCCAGAGGAGTTCAACAGCACTTCCCTCCCGTTTGTTCCCCAGAATCAGGAGCAGCTGAAGGACGATGACTCTGACCTCATTTTGAACGACGGGGACATCAGTCTGACCTACGGGGACTCCACTGTCAACACCGACTCCGTCGTGTCCAGCGGAACGTCGCGGCGGTTCGTGGGGAACAGCTCGGAAGACGCGCTGGATCGGGAGCTTGCTTTTGGGGACCATGAACTCGTAATCCGGGGAACGCGCCTGGTCCTGCCCATGGACGATTCAGAGCCCCCATCAAACGTCCTGGATAACGCAAGACACGGTCCAGCATAAGGTTGCTCGGTTTAATTGACAGTAATATTTGCATATATGATCAAGAAGTATGTACTACCTAAAGTCTAATGCATGTCTCAAAATGTCTAAGCTGTATAAATATTATTTATATGGTGTCAGAAGAATATAAATATTCTCTGCCAAGCACTTGTAAAGAACAAGCTGCAAATTTAAGTTAAAAACTGTGTTGACTGCACTACGTAGGGTGGAACTGTTTTAGCGTAAGAGTCTTTTGCACACAGTGAGCTTCGTTAATGTGTGATTTGATGAAGGGTTTAGTTCCCAGCGGGTAGGTAAAGGAGCTGACTCCCTGTTCATCCTTTGAACTTGGGAGAGGAGGGTAGGGAGGTGCTGGCGAGCAGTGGAAATCGCTTTCTAGGCAGATGAGGATTGTTGGTTTTTTTTTTTGGTCTCTGATTTTTGGATAGTCACATTTGAAATATCAGTAAAAAATCTGCCCACAGACCCTCTTGCCAGGCAGTGGATGGTGATAAACTTGTTCACTTTGTGGGAACCTGGAGACTTTCTGCTTTTTAGTGACCCTCTGCCCAAGCCCTGCTTTAGTGAGCTCATGGCAGACCCTGGCCAAAGCTGACAGCAAGGCCTGTGGGTGTCTGGCTGCTCAGATGGGAGCAGGAGAGAGGGATGGTTGAAGGAGGTGATCCCACAGAACCAGGCGTGCACAGATTTTAGGGCTGAGTCCATCCTTCAGTTGTGGCTCAAGCAGCTTTCTAGAACCAGCCATCAAATCCTCAATTGGCAATTAAATTTCGTGTTTGGGAAGCGACCGTGTCCTTGTGTGAGCGAATCCCTTCTCCTGCAGCCACAGGTGTAGCCAAGGTGTGCAGAGCTACTGCAGCTGCACATGGGGCCATGGAGCCCAGGCAGCCTCAAATATGAGCTTTATGGCTGCAGATGGACACGGTGCCTCCGGGGCTCTCCAGAGGCACTGGGCATCCGGGTGGTACTGAAGGGGAGCCGTCCATCCGTCCGTCCTCCCACAGAGTTGAAAACCATTGCACTTCGTTTGGTAACTCCTCAGCATGCTGTGTGTCTGCAGAACCCACCCCACCTTTCTCATGTCTCTTTTACCATTTAATGAGAAATGTTTGCGAGTTGATTTTTTTTTTATTTTAATTTAAACTTCTGTTTTCCAGGAAAGAGCACAGAACAATTTGCGATTTCACGCTAGTGTTAAAGGATTTATTCTGTAGTTATAGGAATGGCTAAAGGTGCAGTGAAACTGTTAACCCTGACATCCTTTTTCTCCTGAAAAGGGGGGATCACAGAAATTTACTGTATGTAATTTTATTGTCTATTTTATCTACGGTTTTGCTATACAAACCTTTCAGGGTTACTAGTGCACTACAGGCCTGTTCTGGAGTTAACCCTCTCCAGAGGGCTTAAACAGAGGTGTTTAAAATAAAAATATATGAAAAAGAGCCAGGTGAGTTCAGGCACTCACAGCTCACATTAGCTGTCCTTGGAACAAACTCTGCATCGCTCAGGATCTGACCCTGAGACCTCAGAGCAGTGTCCCCATGCCTGTTTTCCCCAGCACCACCTGAGAGTTGGAGGAGACAGGAAATCCTGAAATTTCAAGTATATATGTATAGTTGAGAAAATAAATTTACTTGGTTTTTTTTTGTTTTTCATTTTCTCAGGTCTAAGTAACATTGCCTTAAAATTATGGATGTGAAACCAATTGTTTTGGCAGTTTATCCCCAAGAAAATGCTTTCTTTTTCCTTCAGAACAAAATGTATAAGTGTTGCCATAGGAATCCCCTGGAAGGGGGGTAATGCTCTGTTTATATTTGGATAGGGCATCTTCCTTGCACCTGTAAATGGCATCCCGCTGTTAACATTGCTGTTGGATTAGCGCTGGCCTTTGTTTCCTACTATGCAGGAATTCCATAAAGTGAGTGTGCATTTTATATGATGTCTGTGACTTAACTTCATGTGTTTAAAAAAAATCAAAAAAAAAAAAAGAAGAAAAAAAAAAAGTAGGAACCTGTTGATTTTAGGTTTACTGCATCACTTCTACATCCTGTTTTTTGTTTGTTCTGCCTTTTCGAAGAGGTATGATAAATAACTACCTCTTGTTTTTTCCTGTATTGCCTGACTATGAATTCAATTTACAGAGTTGGTGCAGCTGGAGGTGCAGAGCAGTTCTGCTCCCCCTGACAGCCCGTGGTCCCATCAGCAGGGCCCCAGCAATGGCAGCACTGGGCTCCCTCCCAGGCAGGCATCCCCAGCTGAGGTGCAAATTCCCACCTGAGGTGCCCCAGGGTGAGGTTTTACCGTTGCTGTGGTAGCATTCCTCTCTTTCTCTGACCTTTCAACTTCAATAATTTACCCACTCACTGTAAGCTTGCCAACACATTACCATAAGCCTCAACTTTTGACTGCAGTAGCAGCTCAGTTAGTACATTAAAGAAAAAAGAAAGTTACAAATTATAATTTTATGAGTTACCTGTGAACTCTTATGATCCATACATAATACAACCAGGACTGTTTTGAAAAGCCTTGGTGAATGAATGAATCTAAGCTCCAGTTCAGGAGACATTTATTAAATGACTCGGGTTTGTCCTCAGCTGATTATTTTCTTTGCTCTGCTGCAGCAGAGCAACCACAAATGCGTGGCTTGCAGATGTAGAGCCCTGATGTTTGTGTGCTGCAGATGGAGTTAAAGGTACCTTGGAGAATTGGGGCCTGAGACCTATTGCCAAATAGATAAGACAGCCCCGAGGAGGCAGTTTACAGCACCCACAGAGATTTAGAGATGGTGCCCTTCTTCTGTAAATTGAATTTTCATGGTTTTTGCACATGAAAAAGCATTGTAGGTAAAGTTATAATTTGTACTGGTACTGTCGATTTGTGTGGTAATGGCATTAACCCCGTAGCTGTGGTGTTTGTGCAGCTGATCTGTGATAGCTGATGATCACTATTGGACCTTCTGTTTACACTGACTAAATCCTTTACTGTTGCGTTGTACTGTGAAAGAAGGATTATGGGCCTATAAAAGATTATTTTTTTTTGTTTTTTTTGGAATTGTGTGTACCGTTTCATTAATTCACACGGAAATAAATCTGTAGCAAAGTGACGACGTGCCACTCGACCTTCTCAGACCGGTTTGTTCATGGCCCTTGGCCAGTGGGTAAGGAGGGCAGCAGCCATGGATGAGGATGCTGGACCCCAAGGTGGGCTGGGCTCCACACTCCTGCCTTCCCAGCTCCTGGGACACAGCCCAGCCCTGGGGCCATCCTCCCTCCCAGGAACAGAGAGGTGGACAGATGCTGTTTGCTAAAAGCTGCTGCAGCTCCCGGGTTCCTCCAGGAGCAGCAAACCCAGCTGGGGTAGCATTGCTCACTCACACCTGCCCTGAGGCAATGGGTGGACCTGTGTGAGAGGCATCACTATGGGGTGTTTGCAAAATCAAGGCTCCTGAGCTTTCACAGGCTTTTGTATCCCATGGGTCTGTGGAATTTGCAGTTGGGCTCATGGCTGGTGATTCTGCCCTCTGTCTCCCGCCCATACCGTTTTTTTGGCACTCTGCTGTTGGAGCAGCTGAAGAGGCAAGTTGTTCAAATGCTTTACAATCCTTCAGTACAGAGGGCACCTCAGAAATTTCAGGAATCTCTTTCTGAGGGCTTTGATTCACAAAGGACAACCTTCGTGTCTTGAATGGTGCAAACCCACATTGTGCATAGCTCAGCGTTGCTGTGGGAGGATAGCCCTGAACCCTTCTTAAACACTTGTCTCCCATCCATAGCAGTGAACAGGTGAGGGGATGTCTGTGCTGCTTTCCAAATGGACTGTGGTCCTTGTGGGGGGTGGCACACCCTGAACTCTCCTGCTGGGCTTTGCCAAAGCCATGCCTGCAGCTCACAAAAGCACTGGGAGTTCTGCGAGCGAGAGGGGCTTGTCCAGCATTGCTCTGGTCGTGGGTGGCCTGTGCTGGAAGGCACAGGAGTGGGACAGGAGACAGTGGTGTTTATTTTATTCCTATGAAATGATGCTAATTCCACTGGACACTATCACACTTAAAAATCCTGACAGTTGGAATAAACTCCACTAATTCCACTGCACACGTGCTGTCCAGCCCAGGCTTGGGTCAGACTCGTTCATGTAACTAAAACAAACAAGGACATAATAGAGCAATTGAAAAAGTGCCTTTTAGCAGCTCTTCACCTTCGAAAACCCTCAAAAGAAGTGCAGCACCTCCCTTCAAATGGATTGTTTCCTTGAAATGAGGTAAGATTCAGGCCCTGGACCTCAGCATTGGTGAGCAGTATCTCCAGTGCCCAAAATGTAGCTGAGACCATCTGGTGTGCATTCCCCATCCCCAGTGCAGGCAGCTGCAGACAGGAACCCTCTGGGATGGGCTCGCTGTGCCATGAGCTGCCATGGCATATCAGCCATGCAAAAATATTTTGGATAGTTGCTGTTCAGAGGCACTGGAAGCAGGGACAAGGCAGATTCCTGCATGGTCTGGGGTGGGGGACTTGCACTGCAGGCAGGTGTGTAAAGCTGCCATTTGCTGATTAGTCCCTGTTTTATTAGTTCCGTCCAGTTTGAGCTGATGAGGGGCAGCTTTCAGTCAGGCTATCATACCATCTGTCCACCTTCATGTGGGGATCAGTAAAATGCTGGGAAATGGGCCAATGCTGAGTATCTACAGCCTCAAAAAAAATCACAGGGCTGTTTTTAGAGCAATCCCATATTCCCATGCCCAAGGCACGGACAGTCCTGTGCACTTGGCTCTCTGTCTACATGTAATGCTGAAGGAGCATTTACATGAAGTAATATTAAAAAAACAAAAAAGCAAGGGTTTGAATCTTCTTCCTTATCTGATTGTGGCCTGCAAGGAGCGCTCTGGTCCTTGCTGGGTCCTCTAGATGGCAATATTGGAAAGGACAGTAACTGTCCATCACTGCTGTGTCCCTGCAGGTCCTGTCAGTGCAGAGCCCAGCAGCCCACCCCAGCTCCAGAGACCCTCTCCATCCCCCACCATGCCTCATGCACCATCCAGCTGAGTCTTTATTAGCAGAAAGGAGAGGAGACCCTGTTGTGACACTACTGCTCTGAGCCCCTCTGCAGAAGCCATCACTTCAAACACCCAGGAGTCTGGATGTGTCGAGGCAATCTTGAGCTCACAGACTGTACATCTCCTCTACACCTTGTCTTCCCCTTTAAGCTCAGCTGCTTGTTGGCAGTTTTTTTCCCTATTAGGCTTTCAGAATGAGGAGTTTAAGGCCAGTGGTCACAAGCTGGCTGCAGGATCAGTTTTGGTCAGAGATGAGCTGCAGCCCTTGCTGGAGCTGCTGACAAGTGTCTGGTTCAACACCCCCTCCCCAGCAATGAGCCTGCAAGGGCACCTTCCTCCACGTGCTCCCCATGTCTTGCAGGTAGGGCATCACCTGGACACCAAACCCTTCCTAGTACTAGGTGTTACTGACATCTGCAGCCCATTTGAGGTCATCATGGCTACTTGCACTCTTCCAAGAGGACTTTCTGTCTGCTTGGCTCTCACTTGTTACGGCGCCAAAACAGTGTATGTCACCAGATGTGAGGAGTTTTCTGGAAGAAATGTTTTGCAAGATTAAAAGAGGACAGGAGGTTGGAAGTGCCCATGGGATGCTAATAGGCCCATATTATATATTCTTATAAATATATTCTTATAATGCTAAATTGCAAAAAAAAATCTTTCGGTCACACATGTCTGTGGTTGGAGAATAATTGGAAGATGAGGCAAGTAAAATGGAAACAGAGAAATGGTGTCCTTGCTGACAACCATAACAAAATCTGCCAAGCTGGTGAGGGAACCCAGAGGCTGGGAGTATTTGTGTACTCTCTGTGTCCAGTGTGAGCGTAGCAACACTGCCCAGCACAAACACTGCATGTGCCCTCTGCTTCCCATCTCCCCTGCATCCTGCTCAGCTGGGAGACGAGTAGGTGTCTCTTATCATGAAGGCATTTACAACTCACCTGGGGCCTTCGACCACATTACCATCAGAAGCTGCCTTGCACCTTGTTGGCAGGGGCAGCTCTGGGGACAGTCTGGCTCCCAGTTGCTCCCTGATCCCTGCCATGGCTGAGAGGAGGGTGGCACAGCAGCACAGTGGGTCTGATGTCCCTGAAGCTCCTGGCCCTCAGACAAGCCAGATCAGAAGGAAAGCAAAGACTCGGTGTGTTGGCTGCTGCAGAGGTGAGGTGTCAGGGTGAGGCTGTGGCTGGAGAGCCCAGAGCCAGCAAAAGCAGAATTCCAGCCTGTCACCACTCAGTGTTGCAGGAGGTCTGCTCTTAGAACAGCATTTGGGAACCAGAGGCTCTGGAGCATGTTACTCTGGGACTTGCAGCCCTCACACAGCCCATCTTGCTGCTTTTCCTTACTCCAGCCCTTGCAGTCCATGCACTTAAAAGAGCTTGGGTCAGAGGCTACAAGATCCATTAATGAGTACAGGAGACTCTGTAAGGTTCAGGACTCTGGGGTAGCAAAGCCTTGAATTTGTTGTCCAATATTTAGACATGCATATATACAAAAGGATTTGGTCTTTATTAATTGGCCTTTCATAGGAAATTCCACCAGCTGTCCTCCTCCCAGGAGTGCCAGTGATGCTCCAGCCCCAAGGAGCCCATATATGGTTGCAATCTCCTGAGGCTGCATGTGCCACAATAGTATAGTCATGGCTACATTTAAGGATATGTGTGAACATTACTCCCTTTCCTGTATGTATAAGCTCTGAGGAATGCGGACAAAGATAAAAAAAGTGCACAAATGAAAGCTGTCAGCTCTGTGCAGCGTGTCAGCCCTTCCACCTGCAGCAGCAAGGTGAGTTATTCCAGCCTGCCCGCGTGGGCGCTGAGCTGGGCGGGCACCGCGGTGCAAAGGATGCTTTGGGAATAGAAAAATACCAACTGGCTGAGCACTGAAGCATTTGGCAGTGCAAACGTGCCTAGGCTGAGACAGCAGCAGAGATTTTCCCTTGTCCTGCCTCCTCCTTCTGTTCTAAACTGTGGCCAAGAGCTGCAGCCACCCCTGAGCCCTTTCTGTCCGTGAGGGACTTCTGTAGCCTGAATTCTGCTTGATTCTTCTGCCCAGGACATCTTCCCTTTCCTCCTCCCTCTGTGGCCCAGTGTCCACAGCCCATGGCTAACTTCTGCTATGTTTATCCTCCAAACACAGCAATGGAGCTATTGTCCCCTTCAGGGTTAGTAGCAGTCAGTGTCCTGCAACCCATTGCCCACCTCCTGCTCTCCCCCATGCCCTCTGGCTGATTTAGGCACAGGCTAATCAGAAAATCCAAGGAGGGGTTACAGTGGGCATGTTCTGCATCTGCATGCCACCTACAGCATTTTCCTTGCCCCTCCTTAGGCGTTGGTCTGGACCAAAATGCACCTTTTCTGGTTAGTGTGGCTCCAAGGGCATAGCCTTAAAGATATCTAAGGACAGTATGTCTCCACATCCCTGCAGCATCCTCACCCTCTGCAGCGCCTTGAAGTATCTCCTCTGCACACTTTGATGATGGATGGCTAAATCTGCTCTTCTGTGGTACGACTCACTCTTAGAATTCCCAGAGGTATAAGAGGAGGAAGAACAAGAGATGCAGCATTGCTTGCTTTTCCCCTTTCCCAGGTAGTTAATATTAATCACTGGTGCTTTTGGATGTGTTGTGTGAATTCTCCCAGCCTCTGAAGTTTTTG